GCGCACAGACTCAGAGGTACGCACATTTACACACGCACACACAGACATTCACATGCACAAATGTCAGTAATTTTTGTGAAACATTAAAGCGGTCAGAAAGTGTTTCACTCTCGTTTATCAGATGTCTATCGACTGCCAACGGCCGGTTTCTTCGGTTGTTCCCTTCTTCCTTTCGCTACGAGACACGTCCAGCCACAGCCTCATTGTCTGCCGCACACACGCCCGGCCAGACATGTTCAGTGACGTCCAGTCCCGTCCACTCTTGCCCACTTTCAGGCAGCCTCCAAAACCGACCAACTCACCAAAATCATCCCATTCCTCAGCTCGCGCGCCTCTCCGACAATCCCCGAGCTAAACTGGCCGAGAGAGAACCAGTTCGCCATGGTGATATTTGTCTTTTACATCTCTCCAAGGCAGGCCAAGCATGAAAACAGACGTCGTACACGTTTGTGACACTTGTTGGTGAGCGTCATCCTATCCGGCCACTGAGATGCAGGCCTCGATAGACGTTGGTGATATCTTTTTTTATCAGAACTCACTCAATTTGGCTGCTCAACTTACACAGACGCGGCCAGCTGACGGAGCAGAGAAGCTGAGACAGAGTGTGCGCGACAGAGGGAGAGAAAAAGTAGATAAAATTAATAAATGTGATGGTAAATCGGACTAAGATAGCGAGTAAACAAAGTCACCAGGCGTCGACGTATACAAGATTATTGTAATGCGAAGTATATTCAGCCTATATGAGATGTATTCACTCTGTTTCGGTCAAAGTGACGAAAAATATATTTAGATTATTCCGTTTAAGATGGTTGCATTTTTTCACAATCATATCAGCAGACACAACGTTTCAATTGAGTTTAGCATAGCTCAACTTGCGGTGGACTGCAGTTTCCGGCCCGCCCAGATCCTGTCAACAGCCCAAGTGGGACTCGAACCATGACATTGCAGCGTATAATCTCGACACGTTAACCATGTGAGGTCGAAACTGCAATTCACTTCTGGCTGAATGAGAATACCCTTTTGGAAAGCAAAGTTTTGATAAAATGAATGGGAACGTAAGTTCTAACAATTGAATTTGAGAGCATTAAACTACAAGTACCCTTATCATCTTAAATGAAATAGGGTTAATATACTTATTGTAGAGCTTACTTCCATTTCGAGTGAAAGTGTTTGGTGAAGAGGTTTCCCCAAAACACGACGGAGGATTCCTCCTGACCAGCTGTCGATTGGCTTTACTGGAAGATTCATGCTGACGCTGTTTCC